GATTCTAAGCATAATGTAGTTGCATCCCTGCCGTTTAACTCTAAGGCTGTTTCTGAAACTGCTGATAAAGGAGTATATTTACAAACTTGCACTGTTTACGCTTCAGATACAGATAATACTAGAAGCCAAATAGTAAAAATCCTAATTGATGGTGGATCACAGAGATCATTTATTAGATCTGATTTAGCTAAAGAACTAAAATTAAGGACTTTAAGAAAGAAAGGTTATATATTTATTCTTTTGGGTATATCCAGGGTAGACTAATGGAATATAAGATTGTCCAAATTACCCTGAAAAGTATACACTACCCTAATGACTGAATCATGGTTGAAGCTCTTGTTACAGACACTATTTCTGGAGCGATCATAAAAATTTCCTCGAAAAACATTTTAGAAATATTAAAATCAGAAAATTTAAAATTAGCCGACAATAGTGAAGCAGATGAAATAACAATATTGTTAGGGTCTGATTCATGTTGTGAAGTGCAAACAGGCAAAAAGAGTAAGTAATAAATTATTTGCAGTATATTCTATATTTGGTTGGATCTTTGGAAGGTGATCAGTCCAGCGCCCGTATGTTTACAACTGGTGCTTCTCATTACTTGAAGGAAGATAATTCAGTTAATGACTGTTCGCAAAGGTTTTGGACCACTTGGGTTTAGAGGAGAAGGAGAATCCTGATGATAAATCGGTCATTGAGAAATTTGAAAAAGAATTGCATTTTACTAATGGTAGATATGTAGCTCGTTTGTTATACAAATCACATCATGAAAACTTGGGTAATAATTTAGAAAATGTCAAGCGACATCTAATATCTTTGGTTAATAAACTAAAAAATGATGAATGGCTTACGCAGAATTATGATAGTATAATAAACGAACAGTTAAAAAGTGAAATAATTGAGGAGTGTGTAATTGAAAGTTGTAACAGTAATAAAATGTATTACATGCCACATTCTTCAGTGGTAACAAAAATGTATCAAAAACTAAAGTCCATATCGTGTTTGACACAACTTTGAAGTGTAACAATGCGGTATCTCTAAACAATTGTTTGATGCCTGGCCCAAATTTTAATCCTTCTGTTTTGGCCTTTATTGGGGTTCAAACAATACAAACATGCGTTCTCAGCATATACTGAAAAGATCTTTCACCAGATTGTAATTTCTGAAATTAATAGAGATATATTACGGTTTTTATACTTTGATAATTGCAATTTAAAACATTATAGAATGACTTGCATTCCTTTCGGCGTGTCACGTAGCCCTTTCATTCTGGCGAGCACTATAAAAAACATATAAAGAAAATAGAGTTAGAAAATCCAGATATTTTTTAGATGTTGAACTGTTCGATCTACGTAGATGATGTTTTCTATGGGGCAGATTCCATGGAACACACTTTTAAGTACTGGAGCCTACTGCATGCTTAAAGATGGCAGAATAAATTTGTCTGTTTAGTACAAATTCAGAGGAACTCAAAAAACTTTGGGATGATTATGGAATAAATAAGTGAGAAAATGAATTAAATAGCTCATTAAAAGTATTATGGCTTAACTGGTGTATGAGTAAAGACGTAATTTCCTTGAACATAACGTAGATAACATGTGTGAAACATTAAATAGTTGTAGAAACACAACAAAAAGAAATATATTAAAGGTGACTGTTACTATTTTTGATCCAGTAGGTTTTCTGCTGCCATTTGTATTACGTGCAAAATTGATAATGCAAAACCTTTGACAGTTGGGTTTAGAATTTGACGACGAAGTTCCAACTGAATGTAAGCAGTTGTGGTCCGAGTGGAGCGAAGAAATCAAAAAATTAAAGAAATTTGAAATTTCTCGAGAATATTTCCCCAGCAAATTGAAGCAAAATACAGATACTGAACTGCATGTATTCTGTGATGCACTATTAAAGCATATGTGCAGTCGCATATTTTAGATCGGTTGAAAAAGGGCAGGCAGCATTCATTATAGGAAAATATAGAATTGCACCAATAAAACAAAAACTCACTCTTCCATGAATACAGTTGTTAGGAGTATTAACATCGGCAAGACTTGTTAAAAATTTAAAAGAGGTGTTTTCAATTCATAAGAAAATATCTATCTGGATTGACAGTATGATAGTGATTCACTGGAATCATAGTGCTCCTGAACGCTGGACAATGTTTGTAAAAAATTGAGTATCTGAAATACAATCATTAACTTGCCCAAATAACTGGAGACATTGTAATGGGAAGTCCAATACAGTGGACATTTTATCTCGAGGATGTTCAGCTGAATATTTGTTGCCTTCAAAATTATGGCACTCTGGACCAGACTGGTTAGTTGTATCAGTAAGTGTTTGGCCTAGTAAATTTATTGCGACAATAGAGTTTTCTGCTGCTGAATTAGAGCGGGAAAAGTGTATAAATGATAACACAATACTACCGTCTAGTGCAGAAAAATCGAATCCTCTGCTGAATCTAGAAAAATATAGTAAATTAATTAGAGCTATTAGAGTGACTGCATGAATATTTAGATTTAATCACAATCTGAAAAATAAAGCTTACAAGAAAACAGGACCCTTGATTGCAGAACAACTCTTTGCTGCAGAATTATATTTGATAAAAGAAGTTCAATATGAACATTTTTCTGATGAAATTACTAGTTTAAAGCCTGGACAGTTGATTTCAAAAAACTCAAAAATTTATGAATTGAATCCCTTTCTAAGTGAGGAAGGAGTTTTGTTAGGAGGAGAAAGATTACAAAAATCAACTTTAAGTTTTCATGAACAGCATCCTATAATTATTCCTTCAAAAACTCATTTTAAAGATCTTCTGGTACATGATGCACATGAACGAGTTCTTCATACAGGTGTAGCTAGTACTCTCATGTTTCTCCATGAAAAATACTGGATCATTAGATCCAGACAAAATGTGAAACATGTTATTAGAAACTGTGTACTCTGTCAGCGTTATAACTCCCAACAAATGCAACAAGTCATATCACCATTACCTCCATTTAGAGGTAGAATGCTAAGAGTATTAATATTGTGTGATAGTATATTTCTTACTAAAAATGTAACCTTAATGTTACTTAATTTTGTATGTATGCTTAATATTTAAACTATTGTATATTTAATATTTAAAGTTGAAATGTACGTATTAGAAATTTTTAAGGTTGTAGAAATGTACAAGTGTATTTAAAATTTAATTTAATTCTGAAAAAAAAAAAAAGAGGTTTTCTGCCATATTTCTAGTATTTTAATTTGATTATTGAAATGTTATTTGTTTAATATTATCTTGAGTTACATAAATTCTTGATTTAAATTCCTGATGCTTGAACAGGAATGTTATGACAACAATTCTTGATAAATGAAAATTTACTTGATACTCTCGAAACATATGGCAAGTTTTACATGTTCTTGATGTTGTGACATTTTCTTGATTACAAAAACTTGAATGAATTTATATTAAAATGCATAATGATTCTTGAAAATGTTCATGCATTATTGATAATCTTGATTGTTCTAAATTATTGTTCAGCCGACCCAGTATGTACGAAATTTATCTGGAAAACTTGGAAGTTTGAAATCTGATTCAAATGTTCATTTATCTTGGTGATTTGTGTGTGATTTGAATTGAATAAAGAATCTTGAACAAGGATAACATGAAATCTTTTCTGTTCTATTAGAATTATTATCATTATAAAATAATATTAACATGTACCATGCACTTTACTGCTTATCTCTATTTATCAGTATGTATGCATCTATACAGTAGCCAAATTTAGGTTTCCCCCCTCCCTCTTTTGTAGAAGATGAACCTACATTATTAGTACCTCTTAAAATTGATTTTCATATACAATCTATGAAGACAGAAGTTTTTTGCCGGGAGGGGGCGCTAATTTTACATTTCACTTTGGTACACTTTTTATAAAGTCATACTTTACATCACTGTATAAAATTCAAAATTCAGATCAGTGGTCTATTTTGTCTTTCACATCTTTCAAGGCTTTTTTGCAGTCAGTGCTATTCATATGCTATATGGTGGAGGAAATTTTTATCAGAAAGTCACTAATGTTTCCATGTCTTTATTTGACAGTTTTTGATTTCAGCTAACTCAAACCTAAATTGAACTAAATGCAATTGTCTATATGCATTATCATTAATTGCATTCATACTTTCAACTGCTAATCTGTGATTATCAGTTATGTGTATGAATTTACTATAACTGCATGCACAAAACTGCTTATATACGGATATCACCACACACAATAGCAGCATTATTTTATTTTGCACATGAATGTAAAATAGCCCTGCATTTTTGACAGTTAGGTCTAACAAGAAATGTCTAAAATACACCTTTGTCCATATATCCCAAATATCATACATATTATATTATCCACACATTAAAAAAATATATATATATATATATACTAACTATAAATAGATATTACACTGATACACACAAGTCTTGGTTCTTCTAATTTGAACCTGCAGATGGTAATAGTATTAGCAACAGTAAATAATCTTAATCAAAGAGAGTTTTTGAGACTATATATTCATAATATTGCCAAATTGAAACAAATGATTTAAAGTTTCAATCTAAAACTCATATACAATAAGTAAAATCAAATACTATAGTTAAATCTAATAGCATGCTTTACCCTTTATTTTCCTAATTCATAACATAAATTTTTAATTTTTATTTCAGTACAAGAAATATCCTCTGCAAAATAATTCCAGCATCTTCTGAAATTCTGAATTTTAAACTAAATGCCAGCTGCAGTCTATGTTATGCAATGATGATTATTAGAGTAATTTAGTAAAGATGGCAAATATTTTTAAAAAGCATATAATGTTGATTTTGAATGATACTCAATAAAGATAATGATTAGGAATAAAAATAATTCATGCATTCACTATTATATTCAGTTAATAATACAATATCCTGCACAGTTAATTGAAAATATGCCATAAAAGCCAAACAACACCAGAAAAATAAAACAAATGCTCAAACTCTTTACCTCATATCATCCAATGATTCTCCACAAAATATCCATGTTTTTCCTGTGGACGTAACAACTGATAATAAATTCTGAATTCCATACCTCTCAGGGGGTTGAACACCTTCTACCTGTACACAGGAAAAAATACATACACTTTCTTGATATACACTATACATACAAAAATACTTATATATATTGTAGAAGCCCTGTAGACTGTCACCTCAATAACTTGTCAATCTAGATAAATCAGCATTTTTTCTTAAGACTAGCAGTTTCTTACAGATGACAATGCAATTAAATCTTTATTTACATATCCCCAATTTATATGTTATGCTTGGATAACTCCTAAGGCCAAAGTAAAATATAATTTCTAATTAGTTTCATATGAACAGGAAGTATAAAAAGCATAAAAATAAACTGCAGAGATTTCAAAACAGAGGAAGTTTACTGTAACAGCAAAAATTTTTTAGACCTGAAAATGCAAAAATTCCTGCTGCAACTCTCAAAGGAAATGCCATAGAAATAATGAAAGAACTCAATGCAGAAAATTTTATTATCAGTAATGGCTTGGGTAGAACATTTAAACAAAGCCACAATTTTTTCTTTTAAAAAATAAACCAAAAAGAAGCAAGTATCAACACCAGTGTTTAGGATAACTGAAAATGCTGTACAAGGAAATGACACTTCACAAATTATTCAGAATCAGAAGAGCTTAACTTGAACAAAAGTGGTTTGTTTTATTACCTTTTATCAAATTAAACACTGGCCTTTGAGGATATGTGCAATAAAGGCAAATAAAGTAAACATTTCAAAATTTTACTCAGTGCCAATGATGGGTATTAAAGCTGAAGTCTTAACTGATTAAGAAAAGAAGTCCAAGATGCCCTAGAAATGTGAAATCTTTCCCCCGGATTAAGAAGCTAATTCAAATACATTGATGTCAGATAGAATTTGAGAAAAGCATATTTATAAATTGGAAATACTTTTCTCAAATTATATTTGGAATTCATGAATCCCCCCCTCCTGTGTATTCAAAAATTCATCTCAGGAAAAGCTGCTTTTGTTATAGACAACTGTCCTGCTACATTCATCCATAAAATTTGCAAGCTGTTGGAATGGTACTTCTGCCACCAAACATTACTGCTCTTCTTCGATGTCTTGATCAAGAAGTTATGTGCGAGTTTGTTTAAGTGAGGATATAAAAAAACTATTAGAAATTAAAATTTGGAAAAAACCCCTCAATAAAAATATTTCTTTAGAAACAATCTAATATTACCTTACATAAATTCAAAGTACTACATAAGATGAATTCAGAGCATTAATACATTACCAAAAAAAAAAAAAAAAATCATCATCATGACTTGTCTTCTGTTTACACAAAATTAGATAAATACATCATAACATAATATGAATGTATAACATGAATTGAGTTCTAAGGGCATTCATATACATTTCAAAAGAAGTTTAAGTTTTTTTAATCGCTTAAGTAATTTATTATTTCCATCTACTGACTTGCACTATTATTGAGATTAGAGCAGTTTAAAAATTTGAACATGACTGTATTCTCATGCAGATAAGCTATACCCTTAATTTTTAACTCTAGTTAAAAAAAATAATTCTCAAGGACAAGACAGGGATAGCCTGTTTACCACCGATAAATTTTTTTTTAATTGGAGGTGTGAAACCGCTAAAATGAAAATAGCACTTACCACACACTGAGACAGAAGTTTTATTATCAATTAAAAAAACATATTTCTGTGTTCAGCACCTGTTATTCACTGTCACTGTTCATACTATTAGAGTAGTACCAGTACCACTATCGCTGCTACCAGTATCTCACAGCATATCATTCTCGGAGCTGTCTAGAACAGTCGTTCTCAAACGTTTTTGCTCCATGCACCCTTTTCACAATTGCTAAATGATTATCCACCTCCATTTCCATTCAAAAACATAAAAATTGTGTATACATTTACTTATTTAGGTCATTTTTAAATATTTTATAAATTAAACAAGTATAGAAAATGTTGAGAAATATCTAAACTTGAATAAAAGTAGTTTTTAATAGTCATAAATAAAACTAAATACTTAACAAGTACATAAAAGGCTGACAGAAAAAAATGATCCCCCTGAAGCTATGAAATTCCCCACTGGTTGAGAACCCCTGGTCTAGAGTATTGGATATTCCCCACTTCAAAAAAACCTTTTAACAACTGCTTCATACTTGACCCTGTCCCAGGCTGCCATACTCACACATTTTACTTTTCTGTTCGAAATAAGGTCGTGATTTCCTGTACCCATTCAATCATTATGAAGTCTTTTTTTATAGCAGCAATTATACTAACATCAAAGGCTATAGTATGGAAGTTAGGCCTCCAGGAAACACAGCTATGACAATTTTTAACTCTTTTAATGTTTCCTTCACTTCAGACGTCACACGACATTGGAAGTTATGCGAAGCTAACAAGGTCTTAGGTTTCAGCAAACCACCAGTTCCAAACTGTTTCTAGCCCCAATCCTTAAATGCCTGGAATAATGCCAGTCCTTAAATGCGTGTTATGGTAATATGATGTATGCACTGTTTGCGTGTGTTGCTGCACGTTTATGAGTACCTATTTCTACTCATTGGCATATATAAACTGCACCTGATTTTCATCTGAATTTTTGTGGACATAAAACAATCTTACACAGAACAGAATATGGTATTTATCCCAAAGCATAATATTGAACAACTGCTTCATTTAAATCATCATAATTTCTTCATCCTTTAACTAACAACTTGCAAAGATTTCTACTGCATGTGTGCATGTATGCACACACACAAATATACATACATACAGATACATTATAAAATAGATAATATTAAAATGATTTAACATATCATCACACATTTTTATAAAATTGCATTAAAAAGGAAAAAGTTGCATATAAATTTCTCTCATTTGTAACTTTAAACTACATCATGGAACACACACATTTAAAAAAGAAAAAAATCTTTTTTTAGCTTTATGCACACAATGTACATGCAGGAAAAAAAAAAAAATACTAGAGTACGAAGTCCGAGACAACATCTCATCGGGATATTTGCGATTCCGGATTTTTCCGAATATTAAATCACCAATTTAAATCTAGTAAAATGGTACGTAAAAATTATAAAATTAAAAATATGAAATAGTGAAGCATTTATGATCTGGGTATCAAAACTTACAAAAGAAAAAAAGCCTAATATTTATTTGTTTACTTTATCGAACATTTCTTCCTAGGCAGCATACATTCGTAAATTGCGGGTGGAAAATATGTGCAATAAATGAATGGCCCTTTGTATAAAAAACGTAAAACTTGAACATAAAAATATCATTAAAAAAGTGTCCAGAAAAAACAGTAGATATTACGTATATTTTTATGTTACAATATATATGTAAAATTTAGTTATGTTCACACAAATGGGCGCTCTTTATTCGTAGTTTTTACATACAATATACATACATTTTACGGATTTACGTATATTTACTGCAATATACATAATCTTATACGTAAATCTTCCCATTTTTTACTTCATATATTTTTAGTGAAAATTTATGTAAATCTCCGCATTTTTTTTTTTTTTTTACTTTTCACAAACGTATACTTTACACAAAATTTTACGTAAATTTTCCTTATTTTTTATGCATATTATGTATAATTTTGGTAAAAATTAATTTTTCATGAAATCTACATATATTTTCACTATATACATTTAGTTAATACCATATTTTCCCCAAGTCATATTTTTATTTAATACCATAACTCTTATCATTATATGCAGATAATACAGGCACATTACAAATGTAAAAATGCCACATTTTTCCCCTACATGTGCTGAAAGTTTCCACAATTTGTTAAATGTGATTTTATTTCTGTAAATTTAATTTTTTGGTAATGTATCACAGCTAATACTGTTTTTAAAATATAGTGAAACTTACAAGAAATTTAATTTTTTTTTTCGAAGTCATTTAGAAAGTACTTTTGTTGAGCTAATGCTTTAACCCTTTCTGGCACACTACCTTTTAAAGTTGGAGTTTTGATAAAGGAAAAAAAGGTAGGCAGTCTAATTAGGCCTAGAGGAGTACACAAGTAAAATTTTGTGAAGATAGTACTTATCGTTTAATTCTGTGGGTGTGCCCAAAGTGGGCACACTGATTGAATAGAGCTTCGAAAAGTGTGCTGAAACAAGCATTGTTGTCAATGAACTGACCGATGAGATGCGGAGAAACAAATACAGACTCTCAGTTGTCCTAGATTTTTCACATAGTTGTCCTATGTGAACCCGGTCTGGGCACACATAGCATTCGCCGTTTGATTTTAGGAGAGATTTCAACAAAAAAATTTAAAACTAATATAGAATAAGGAGATTAGCATAGAATAGCATAGAAATTTCTTTTCAAACAATTCCTTTTATAACCTAAGAAAAATCTGGAAGATTTCTTTGAAAAATGAGGGTCTTAAAAAACTAAACGTGGCTAAAATATATGGACTGGTTTGTGTTGAGCTGCCATCTACTATAAATAAAGAAGGTTCAGAGTAACCTATAAATCCTTTTTCATTCAATTTTTCTGTGAATACAGAAGGAAATTTTTAGGTGTGTCCAGACCGGGCACACTGTGCCACAAAGGGTTAATACTATAAATATTTTCTGCATTAAAAAATAATACATACTAACTGATATAGTATATATGGCAGTCTCTAATATTTTGGTTTGATATGACTCGTGTAAATTGAAAGACAATTTAAATTAATAAAAATACTCACTTGATTTTTCATGGACAGATGGTTTTATTTAGATAGTGATAAAATAGAATATATGTATCGGACATAGTTAAACTTTACAATATTTAAAACATGCTATCTACACATTTCTTCCCTGATGTACTGAAATTTTCAACAATTTTTTAAATGAGATAAGCTAAAATAAGTCATGAAAAAGTTGTTCATTAAGTAAATCTGTTTTCTAAAAATGTATGAATTTAATACAGTAGAATTTTATATTAAAGTCTTTACTGAAATGAAAAATAAAAATAATTTTAAAGTCACTGAAAAATATAAATTTTATTTAAAAAATTTGTGTTTAGTATTCTTTATTAAATGATCAAAC